CTTGGCTTTTTCTAAAACCCGATTTTTGAAATAACTGTTGAGCAGGAATATCTGATTCTCCGTTCAGCAATACTGCATGATGCTGATATTTTGGTATTTAAAACCAAAATTAACCCCACCAAACCGGTGAACCATTGCTAACATTGCACTACGAATACTGTAGATGGCAAATGCTATCGGAACCAACCACTAGATATTATCGACTCGCCAAGCATTAGTGTGTTTAGACAGTCGAACTCAATGAGTCACTTCAGTGGATTACGAACAGAAAGGGTTAAGTAGATTTTTGCACCATGCTGCATTTAATGTCCAACAAAACTGGAATCACTCCACCGCCACGAGGTGATCCTACTGTGCAAACATCCTATGGGACATGTGCCCCTAAGTGATTTCCAGAATAAACCTTTGGCTATGGGTAAACTAGACACTATGTTGAGTTAAACAAAGGTATACCGGTTCCTCCCTTCTTCTTAGCATGCCTGTTATTGATATATCAGTAAATAAAATAATACAACAATAGTAATGTAATATATCACGGTGACAAAGTAAGTTAGCCCAGTTGAGCTAATGTGCACGTAAACACAGCAGCTGACAGTTGCCTTCCGAAGCGGGGACTTTGTAAATACGACAAATTGAGCGCCAATATTCAGTCACATTCCATTTAAACACCCCAAGCCCAAATTCTGGTATCTAACACATTTTTCAGTAACATTGTATCTTAGTAAATTCCTGATATCGGATCTTATTCTGGTTAATTCGAACTCTTTGGAGATGGAATGCTCGATATTTGATAGACGGGTTGCCTCAAATGTTGACACTCTCCTCCCTTCCAGTAATGAGTCATGGTACATCTTAATGCGAGGCCACCGCAAAGTGAACATCCAAGCTAGGTGATTCTATGGTAATAAACGTGCCAATGGTGAGGTTCATCAGTTCGATTGTCATATCTAACTTCTTTCAATATGCTTAACAGAGAAGGGATTAGCTGTGGGATAGAGTATGACAGAGAGAGGGAGAAAGTTTGATGCCCCGGTGCCCAACCTGATTAAATTCGGTGATATAAATTATATGTCCAGTGACTCATCCCAAGAAAGCTGCCAAGTTGATTGATCGGAATCTCAGTACAAGTATCAAAAGCACCAATAGTATGAATCTGCTGGTAGTATGCACAAAGCTATAAAAATATATGGAATCAATCTAGATATGGATGAACGAAAACAGGTAGCGCGTATGGAACATTTATTATTCTTATATCTCCATATGCTGTTTGCCGGAAGCAGGGGAAGCGGTCATTCAAGGGACCGTTTGTTATGTGATGCAAAGAAAGGCAACTTTAATGGCTATGGTGGGGTTTGGACGCACGATCTTCGGGGTAATAGATTAACCTGACCGCTTAACCATTACTTATGACAATGATAGCAGATCACCTAATTAAAGGGACCCTGGGGCTAAGCCAGGCCAAATCATCATTTGGGAGTTTCCAAACAGGCATTGAGATTTATATATTAATAGTCCTCTGGAACAGTCATACCTAACAAATCATTAGGGCACCATTTTGTCCAGATATCTATCCTAATGAGATTGCCGTTGAAAGAAAGTGAAACCGATGGGGAAATCCCACAAGTAATTCGTTATGCTTGCGTGAAGTTGCGCAAATCCTCCTGCTCGAATGATAACAGTTGTCATTTCCCAAAACAGACAATGCCAAAAGATACTAACTGCTTCCTTCAAAATAATTCAGCCAGTCAACTAGCCAGCAGGGTCACGCATGTCAGTAAGTAACCTGCAAGTGACTGATGCGTGACAAGGATAACTGAAAGCGATTTGACCGACGTAAAGAAATCAATCGTTTAAGGTTGTACAGTACTTTCAGGACTTGCTGTCGCGCACACTTGGCTAAGATGTGTGCATGTCCAGAGGAAGGGGGAGGGAGTGACGCTATGGAATCGATTGGGTTGCACGGAAGAGCAACGAATGAGGAACAAAGAAACTTTCAAATGCAAATGAAAGAACGTAATCTAACCCGACAATCGCGTGATCGAAAACTGATTGGTTAGTCAAAAATATTCCTGTATGCGTGTATCTCGTTTTCTTCAACCGAACAAGAATCTAAAGTCAAATTGTACGCAACAAACAAAAGTCCCTAAATTTGCACCAAAATCGTCATTTGTTTGAGTAAGCATTGATCGTTAGGTAACTTGCAATCACAATCGAAGGGAAATCAGACAACGCGCGTTTCGTAAAATAATGGAGCACAGTGTATGATACGAAAGGATCAAACAATTGTGACAACTATCGATCTAGTGGACATGAGAACAGGGATAAGCACTCAGGAATGTTTTCGGTGCTAGATCGACTGGGTTTAGCCAGCACAATTTATAATAAATTAAACAAATGGTAAGAGACTGCAAGTAATTATGAGAGAAATGAGAGTTTATAATGAGATTGTACTATGGTGATAAGTTCTATGCGTGGTATGTGTTTGTGTGTCTGGATGTGGGAGGGGTGATTATGAAAGGCTGAGTGGGTAAACGAATAAAAGTTTTTGAAAATAGGTTACGTTACTAGATTGTAAATTAATTGCCACGATAAGACTGGTGGTTTTAACTGTTCCTAGGCGCATAAGGGTAGGGACGAGGGACGAGGACGGATGACAATCGTGTCGGTTGTTAAAAAAATTCGGTACATCTCCTTCGTTAACTTCCCCTTGAGAGCACAAGGAGGATGGAAAGGTTGAAGCACACTGGCTGTGTGATTAGACTTAATCAAACCGTTTATAATTGATGTCCCAACGGTCATTGTCAATCCCCGATTCAATCAATCTAACTTTAGCGGGGCCTTCAAAGTTCGGCCGTGCCGCCCATTTCTCCATCATCACATTATTCACTACATAGTCATCACTGTCTGCGGTTTATTTTGCATCAATCGCATGAAATTTTACCTTGGCTGCCGGGTAGGCTGCTGTGTCACTGTCACAGTGATGCCTAATTTGGTAAAATGCACCCGTAATTTCATTTTTCAATCAAATGGAACAAATTTGCAGCCACTACCTGTATGAAATAAATGCAAAAGGAGGGCCAGAAAGCTTTCGAAAAATCCGAGGAAGTATCACACCGGTTGGAGAGTTGTTCTTCCGAAACGAACAATTTGGCTGCCGAATATCCATCTTTTAAGGTGTATAAAGCGATTTCTTTACTTCAATTGACAGTTGCTGGACAAATAGAATGAGATTCAGCCTTTTCATGGCTGGAATCATAGGAAGCACTGTTTCGCTGTCTCACTTCTGTTGGGTATCTTCGATGACCCGAGTCCGTCGAAGAACTCGACCAAGAATCTAGTTGGAGACCTCATCGGTCAAACGAAAGCTGTCGGGATGCTGCGTGGATTTTGTCACTACAATCGGTCACACCATAAATCATCCACAACTTTATTTTGCATA